GTTCATAAAGTAACCAGGAAATATAATATTAAACAAACAAACTGGTTTTAGACTGACATCTTACATCCTCCTCTACCTGTGAACTGGAACATTAGGGGGATCCTGGGAATTGTTTTAACTTCAAACAACCATCTTAACTAGGACTGTCATAAAATGTAAATAAAATAGGATACTAGCAAATATATATAGTTTATGAGCAACCACCAGCAGATCCTTCTCTTCATAGTACTGTAAAAGCCAACGAACAGAGACTAATTTCTTCAATCAAGCATTAAAACTTAAGGAATCCCTTTTTAAAATGTAAATAAGTTATATAATTATCTCATAACTGACGTCTTGTTGGAAAGCTCACTTCAACAAACTGATGTTGCAAATTAAAGTTTTAAAACACAGAAAGGGAATACAGAAAGATCCTTCCCAGGTACTGGTAGGAAGGCTCCGGATGGCACATTGGACCTGGAGCCTGGGAGGGAAGACTCAGGCACCAAAAATGGGGAGATAGGAGAGAAAGGGAAAGTGGACAAAATCAAAGTGAAAACTCAGTCACTTCACAAGTTTCTCAGGGTCTCCCTGCCCCTAAATTATCCCGAAGGGCAGATGTAATTCTGTGCTATGCTTGGAGCAGGTCACAGGAATGAGTGCTATTCTGGACCCTTACCTTTGGGCAGAAGGCATGGGAATATCCTCTGACTGACTGAAATCCTGAGCATCATCAATGAAATATTTATATTATTTCACGGTGTCTACATGAATTGTATGATTTTTTAAAAAAATTAACTATGAAAGAAGAAAATAATGATTTCAAACAGAAATAGACTGATTTATTTCTAAGATATTTTTAAAATGTAGTTTCTTAGGTATGTCATCTCAGTTTTTACCCTGCCTAATACTTAGTGAAGTCAGTTTTCCACAAAGTGCAGAACTGTTTAAATCAGGAATAAGCAAATAACCTGCCAAATCTAGACTACTACTGTTTTTTTGTAAATAAAATTTTATTGACCCACAACCAAATTGCTGGCTGACTTCCAAAAACAATGGTAGAATCAGATCTTAAACCAGTTACAATAGAGACCTAAAGACCTTTAAAGTCTGCAGTATCTGCTATCTGGACTTTGATAAAAAGAGTTTTCTGACCCCTGGCCCAAATAAAGACACCTCTTTAAAAAAAATCTCAAAGCCTGAGTATCATATAAACAAAACAACAAGAGTCTTTAGTAGTTAAACAGAGCCATCTGGCAGACACATGGACCATAGGAGGATCCAAGGAGAGCATCATGCTTTAAATTGTAAATTTAAAAATTACCTGAACACCGAATTTTCTCTTCATGGATATGATTTTGATATGATTAACAAATGGCCTTCACAAATTTCTCAAATGTATTTAAAATATGACTCTACAAACTTTTTTTTTCAGGAACACCATAATGCTTACTTCTCACTACAATGGATTACACAGATAAATGATGTATAATTAGATATTTCAAGTGAATATTGATATAAGCCATTGGGGTTTGACTATAAGAGATTTAGGCCAAAGTATTAGTTGGAATTGGCCAAAGGTAGAATCAGAACTGAAGAATCTGACTGGATAATGGTGCTGTCCCCTGAGAAAACGGATCTGTGTTCATAAACAACAGGGCCATAGGGCATGTTCACATGTAATCTGGGCTGACACCTTTATGAAAAAGACCAGATCTGGCTGATAGGTGTTCAACTCTAGGTCACTAGGTGTGACTGTGAAGCCAGCCAGTCCTGGTGTCTGGAATTTAAACTTTAGTTTGACAGGAAACACAGCAAACAGTAACAGGTTCAGCCTCTGTTCTCAGTGATTCTGGGTGTTATAGCCCAACCACTTGTCATGATCTATTTCATTCTCTGGACTGTAGCTGTTTATGGGTGATAAGAAAATTGAACACCCAAAGTCACCTCAACCACAGTTAGATAAACGCGGTTAAGCTTTCAACCACGGTCTGTATCAAGTCTTCTCCATCATTTGTGGAGGAACAGTTTGGCAGTTAAAAGTTCAGAGGGCTGAATTCAGAAAACCTAGACTCAAATTCTAATCTAGTCACTTCTTGTTTGACATTAAGACGTCTCTTCAGGACCTTTCTGACCACTGGGTTGCTCCTCGAAATCTAAGATGAGAACACACTGGTGGGTCTCAGAAGACAACATAGGGCAGTGCGAAGAAGGATAAAGGAACTGACAGACAAGGAACTCAGGAAGCACTGGAAGAAGGGCTCGCACTCACCACTCCTCCAGGCCTCCTTTACGTGCTTCCCCAGGGAGCCACAAGGCTTTTTCCTCCTGGAGCAAAAACCCAGCTGGTGAGAAGCCTAGAGATGGCCACGACTCTGCCAGTGAGGAGCCACTACTCTTCAGTCTACTCCACTCAATTTTTGTTTAAACAGCCCCTCCCAACTTCCTCCTTCACTCTTCAGATTTGCCTATGGTTTGCTATAGTTTGCATGTCCCAAGTTGTAGTTCTTCTGCTATTACCAAATAAACTCATTTTTGCTGGTTAAATAATTGGCTATTTTATTTTTAAGGTTGAAAGGGATCATATGAGAAAAAGGGTGTGAAATTACTTTGCCTGTAAACGAGTAGTTCTTAAATCTGAATTTTTTCTATTACTGTTCATATTGCTATTGTGATAGTAAAAATCATCCTCTAAACCAGAGGAAAAAAAAATTGACATAGATGGCTAGTTTTTTCACAGACCTTAATAAATATGCTTTCTTTTATATTTAACTATTTTTATATATTTCTTAAATTGAGATTAATTGACATATAATGTTATATTACTTTCAGATGTACAATATAATGATTCAATATATGTATATATATTTAACTTTTTAACATATTTTTATGAAGAATTGTATTCTTTTTTTCTATTTATTTTCTTTTACAATGTCTTTTTACAATGTTTTCACATGGCAGAAAAGGAAAAAGGAATACTTTGATGGATGGCATTTACAAATGGGTCTGACAAGGAGCCTATTTCCTCCATTCCATTTATGGTGTCCAAAACCCATCACTGGGCTCCAACATGACTGTTTTTGGCTGTCTTACCAGTGCCATAACAGCCCTGAACATCTGCATAAAGGAAGAGTTGTTTATGGCTGATTAGTCCTGAGCAAAGCCACAACACTGAGAAAATACAATACCTGAATCTGAAATGTCACTCATTTATACTACAAGTCAAGATGCTCAACTAAAATGGGGCTTGGGGGTGAAAGGGGTTGGGGAGATATGGGGTAGAAAATAGGAAAGCCATACAAAAGACTGGGGCAGGTAAATAGCGAGGGAATGAGAGCAGTTCTGAAGATAGTTCAGTTAGTACTGAATATCCCCCAGGATGCTTCTTTTATATAGAAGCCATCTCACTTAGCTCAAATAAAGTGAACACTTTAAAAAAGTTGACAGATGGATCCAACAATACATCAAAAAAATTATTCACCGTGACCAAGTGGGATTTATACCTGGGATGCAGGGCTGGTTCAGTATCTGCAAAACAATTAACGTAATTCATCACATCAATAAACAAAAGGACGAGAACCATATGATCCTCTCAATAGATGCAGAGAAAGCATTTGACAAAATACAGCATCGTTTCTTGATAAAGATGCTTAAGAAAGTAGGGATAGAAGGATCATACCTCGAGATCATAAAAGCCATATATGAACAACCCAGTGCTAATATCGTTCTCAATGGGGAAAAACTGAGAGCTTTCCCCCTAAGGTCAGGAACAAGACAGGGATGTCCACTCTTGCCACTGTTATTCAACATAGTATTGGAAATCTTAGCCTCTACAATGAAACAACACAAAGAAATCAAAGGCATCCAAATTGGCCAGGAGGAGGTCAAACTTTCACTCTTCACAGATGACATGATACTCTATATGGAAAACCCAAAAGATTCCACCAAAAAACTGCTAGAACTGATTCATGAATTCAGCAAAGTTGCAGGATATAAAATCAACCCACAGAAATTGGTTGCATTTCCATACACCGACAATGAAAGAGAAATCAAGAATCGATCCCATTTACAATTGCACCAAAACCCACAAAATACCTAGGAATAAGTCTAATCAAAAAAGGTGAAAAATCTATACACTGAAAACTACAGAAACCTTACAAAAGAAATTGAAGAAGACACACACACACACACACACACACACACATAAAAAAAATGGAAAAAGATTCTATGCTCCTGGATAGGAAGAACAAATATAGTGAAAATGTCGATACTACCCAAAGCAATCTACATATTCAATGCATTCCCTATCAAAATAACACCAGCATTCTTCAAAGAGCTAGAACAAATAGTCCTAAAATTTGTATGGAACCAGAAAAGACCACGAGTAGCCAAAGCAATCTTGAAAAGGAAAACCAAAGCAGGAAGCATCACAATCCTGGACTTCAAGCTGTCTTACAAAGCTGTAATCATCAAGACAGTATGGTACTGGCACAAGAACAGATACTCTGATCAATGGAACAGAATAGAGAACCCAGAAATGGATCCACAAACGTATGACCAACTAATCCTTGACAAAGCAGGAAAGAATATCCAATGGAATGAAGACAGTCTCCTCAGAAAGTGGTGCTGGGAAAACTGAACAGCGACATGCAAAAGAATGAACCTGGCCCACTTTCTTACACCATACACAAAAATAAACTCAAAATGGGTGAAAGACCTAAATGTAAGACAGGAAGCCATCAAAATCCTTGAAGAGAAAGCAGGCAAAAACCTCTTTGATCTTGGCCATAGCAACTTCTTACTCAACACGTCTCTGGAGGCAAGGGAAACAAAAGCAAAAATGATCTACTGGGACCTCATCCAAATAAAAAGCTTCTGCACAGTGAAGTAAACAATAAGGAAAACTAAAAGGCAACAGACAGAATGGGAGAAGATATTTGCAAATGACATATCAGATAAACGGTTAGTATCCAAAATCTATAAAGAACTTATCAGACTCAACACCCAAAGAAACAAATAATCCAGTGAAGAAATGGGCAAAAGACATGAACCGACACTTCTCCAAAGAAGACATCCAGATGGCCAACCGACACATGAAAAAATGCTCAACATCATTCATCATCAGGGAAATACAAATAAAAACCACAATGAGATACTACTATATACCTGTCAGAATGGCTAACATTAACAACTCAGGCAACAACAGATATTGGTGAGGATGCGGAGAAAGAGATCTCTTTTACATTGTTGGTGGGAATGCAAGCTGGTGCAGCCACTCTGGAAAACAGTATGGAGGGTCCTCAAAAAACTAAAAATAGAACTACTCTACATCCCAGCAATTGCACTACTAGGTATTTATCCAAGGAATACAGGTGTACTGTTTCGAAGGGACACATGCACCCCAATGTTTATAGCAACACTATCAACAATAGCCAAAGTATGGAAAGAGCCCAAATCCATCCATTGATGGATGAATGGATAAAGAAGATGTTTTATATATACACACACATATATACACACACACGCATATATATACACATGCACACACACACACACACACACACACACACACACACACTCAATGGAGAATTACTCGGCAATCAAAAAGAATGAAATCTTGCCATTTGCAAGTATGTGGATGGAACTGGGGGGTATTATGCTAAGTGAAATTAGTCAGAGAAAGTCAAATATCATATGACTTCACTCATATGAGGACTTTAAGAGACAAAACAGATGAACATAAGGGAAGGGGAACAAAAATAAAATAAAAACAGGGAGGGGGACAAAACAGAAGAGACTCATAAATATGGAGAACAAAATATGGAGAACAAATATGGAGAGAGGGCTACTGGCAGGGGTGTAGGAGGGGGGATGGGCTAAATGGGTAAGGGGCACTAAGGAATCTACTCCTGAAACCATTGTTGAACTATATGTTAACTAATTTGGACGTAAATTAAAAAAATATATAAAGTTTAATTAAAAAAAAAGTTGACAGAGCCTGAAAGATGGTGACTAAGACATTTGCTTAGCTGGCCAAATAGACCTCTTAGGACACCTTGGACACAGCAGATGATGCATGGAAAGCATTGCCCATCTCACATATTAAAGCCCAGAGAATTTCTGAATATACTTACTTCCTAAGAGAAGTACAAGAGAAGCTTTTCTGCCCTAAGCACACTTCAGGAACACATCTGGAAGAGCTCTGCTTCCTTGTGAAGTAAACTCTATCTAAGGTTGTCCAATCACTAAAATTTGGAAAATAGAAGTGATGGTTTTGGGGGGAAAAACCAAAAGCTTTCTTTGAACTGTAAATAATCACTATGTATGTATGTATGTATGTATGTATGTATGTATGTATTTAATGTATGCTTCTATTGTAGCCATTCCTTGCAGCTATGCCTCTAGTCCATCAAAAAAAGCAGATATACTTAAAACTACTTACAATAGAGTAAAAATAGGCCTGGTTTTATACACACACAAACAAAAGATTTATATTACATATATAGTTATATGTTATGTATATACATTATTAAGGACAAATATTTACTGATCTAGAAATCCTGCTTCCTTTTCATAAAAGCCAAATTCTTTAAGAAGCTTGCCTGTAATAATGGCACTTCCATTTACTTCCCAATGTTCCATGAAAACATTACCTACATTAATCCTTTGAAAAAATTCTAATAAGTATATGATACCTTTAGCTAACAAATAAAAAATATTAAGTAAGCTTGATTTTCCCATACAATCTTATATTTTAAATCCCACTCTTTGGCAATTCAGAATAGTGGTTAAATAATTAAATTACAGCTAAGGTTCACATAACCATATTGAAATACTTAAAGACAGTCTAAGTGAAGGACTGTGTAAACTGCTGCTATACAGTTTCTTACCAGCAGAATTATGAGTCTATTAAAGTTAACAACTTTAAATCCAGTGATTATTTGTTGAAGCTCAAGTATCAATAAGAGTCTGTGGCCAGAAAACCAAACTGCCTCCTTTACAAAAAGACAAGTATCATTCTTCGTTATGTAGCTATGAAGGAACAAGCCTAATTGTTCTCTAATCAGAAGAAATACATGTATATTTATCCTCTGGAAATATTATTTGCTCAAGTCTTGAGGGAGCTCTCACATTTGTCTTTGTAAATAGCTCTGGTATTTCAAATACTTCAACTTTGGGGAAAATCTATCTACATAACTCTATTAATGTCAGAAAGGATCAGAAGCTTCCAGACTAAACCATGTATTTTCTATTTTGTCATTTCAAGGTAAGTAAATAGAAAATAAGCTTAGGATATCATACCAGAAAAGACATTAAATGAAGAAACTCATATCATTTTACTAGTATGTGAATAGACAAGGAAAACATAGATACCAAAATTAATCAGAGATTATAATACTAATAAAAATGTTAAGCTGTGGATGATATATTAGAGTGGTATAGTTCAAAAGATAATTGGACTTTCTAATTACATACTGAATTTCATTTATATAATGCAGGTAACATGCACACGATTACTCAAATTTCACATTAATACATTTATATCTATTAATTCATATACAGAGTTACTGGGACATTGATGTCTTACTGCCCATCTAAAAAAATATATTAATAGCTTAGTCTCCTCAAAGAGTGTTTGTTTGCAACATGAATATTTCATATTTGGAAAAGCTCTAAATTTGAATATAGATTGACTCATAATGTGTTCTTGGGCTCTACTCAGTAGTGCAAAAGACATTTGGTAATTCACATAACTTCTGAAAAATCTACAAATCTAACCTTTTTCAGATTACTATATTACTTTTGCAAATTAACTATAAATGACATTCAGTTTTAGAAAATAAATATTGACAGGAAGCCATTTGGATAATTAAATATTTTATTCTTTTAAAGATTAATGTATGTGGGGGCGTTTGGATGGCTCAGTGGGTTAAGCATCTGACTTCGGCTCAGGTCATGATCTCGTGGTTTGTGAATTCAAGCCCTGTGTTGGGCTCTGTGCTGACAGCTCAGAGCCTGGAGCCTGCTTTGGATTCTGTGTCTCCCTCTCTCTGCCCCTCCCCCACTTGGTCTCTCTCTCTCTCGCTCTCTCTCTCTATCTCTCTCTCTCTCTCTCTCAAAAATAAAAACTAAAACAAATGTATGCTGGCAAGCACATGGAGCAATAGGAACTCTTCTCACTGCTGGTGAAAATGCAAACTTGTACAGCCACTTTGGAAGATTGTTTGACAATTTCTTACAAAATTAAACATTTTAACCATAAGATCCGGCAATTTTACTTCTTGGTAGTTAACAAAAGGAGTCGAAAATTTATGTCCACATGAAAAACCTGCATACAGTTGTTTAGGGCAACTTTATTCATTATTGCCAAAACTTGGAAGCAATCAAAATGTCCTTAGGCTATTGACCAGATAAACTTCAACATCTAGACTATGGAATATTATTCAGTGTTTAAAAGAAGTGAGCCATCAATCCATGAAAAAACCGGAGGAAATGTATGTGTACATTACTCACTGGAAGAAGCAAATATGAAAAGGCTATATATACTGTATGTTTCCACTAAATGACATTCTGGAAAAGGCAAAACTATGGAAATGTCAGTGGTTCCTAGGGATTATCATGGAAGAGGGATAAGTAGACAAAGTTCAGAAGATTTTTAGGGCAAGGAAACTATTCTATACGATGCTGTAATTATGAGTAAATGGCATTACACATTTGGCCAAACCCGTAGAATGTACACATCCAAGAGTGAACTCTAATGTAAATGGTGAACTTTGGGTGATTATGATGCATTGAGGTCGGCTAATGGATTATAACAAATGTCCCATTCTGGAGGGGAATGCAGAGTATAGGGGAGGTTGTGCATGTATGGGAGTGAGAATGTATGGGAAATCTTTCTACCTTTGTCTCAATTTTGCTGTAAACCTAAAACTTCTCTAAAATAATAAAATCTGTTAATTTACCTTTTAATGGGCAAAGGATCTGGAAAGACATTTTCCAAAGAAGATATATAAATGGCTAACATGAAAAGATGTTCAACATCACTAGTTCTAAGAGAAATGCAAATAAAAACCACACTGAATACCATTTCATACCTATTGAGATGGCTATAATGATAGAGAGAGAGGTAGAGAGAGAATAAGTGGTGGAGAGGATGTGGAGAGACTAGAAGATTTAGACACTGCTAGTAGGAACGTAAACTGAGGCAGCCACTTTGGAGTCATCAAATCCACTTTTTGTGGCTGTTTTTTGTTTGTTTGTTTGTTTGTTTGTTCTGTTTTAGGAAAACAGTTCCTCAAAAACAGAATTTTCATGTGATCCAGCAATTCCGCTGCTGGGTATATAACCTCTGCCCCCTCCCTCCCCTCCCCCTGCAAATCAAAATATTCATCATCCACACAAAAAGTAGTAATATATGTTTGTAGCAGAATTATACATAATAGTGAAAAAGTAGAAACAGCTCAAGCATCCATTAATTGATGAATGGATAAATAAAAGGTGGTCTACCCATACAATGGAATATTATTTGACAGTAAAAAAGAAGTATTGGTACATGTTCCAACATAGATGAACTTTGAAAACATTAAGTAGAAGAAATATGTCACAAAAGATACACAGATGATTCCAATGATATGCAATATCTAGAAAAGAAAAATCTATAGAGACAGAAAATATATACGTGGTCACCTAGGGCTGGTGGGTGATGGGAGACCAAAAGTAAATGGAGCATACTCACTGATGGGTACAGGGTTTCTTTCTGAGATGATGATAATCTAAACTTGACTGTGCTAACAGTCACACAACCTTGTGAATATACTAAAACCCACTCTACGCTATTTTTTTCTTAGTACACTTTAAATGGTTGATTTGTATGATACACAATTTATATCTCAATGCAGTTAACATCTTTTTAAAAAACATAATGGCTTCATGATAGAGAAATAAATTAAAAAGGTAAACAGACAATTCACAAAAATATGTAAATATAACCCTTAAATCTATGAAAAGATGTCTGATCACATGTATAGAAAATGTAAATTTCCTAGGAATTTACCCAAG